TTGTGTGCTTGTAGTTGATTATATACTTGATGTTTGACTAAGATGTTTGATTTCAGCGAAACCTTTGTTTTGTAAAGTTGACCAACGTAAATATGCAATTCGGGGGGTCAAGCGTTCAATCATCCAATAACTATAAATAGTAGCAGTTCAGGTCATACTTTAGATAAGAGTGGTCTTGTGAAATTAGCAAGTTTATGCAAAAATATGTGTCCCTCTTGTCTTAGTCCAGCTAAATTTATATAGATGGTATTGTGACTAAACAGATTTGTTCAATAAACTAAACAAGGAATCATTGGACAGTTATTGTATTGAAACCTTTTGTAAAAAGCAAACACAACTGGACATCGAAAAGCTTGAATGATTTGATAGCAAGCAATGTTGAAGAACACAATAAATATGTATATATTGTATATAATATACTGTTTACAATTAACAATTATATTCTATAATGTTAGATCAGTATTTGTTGGTACCTCCGCAATTATGGTATCAGTATTTTCTAGAATATCCAGATCAAAATTGATTTAGTATTTGACCAGAAATGGCCCACAATTAGCAAACATAACCAGTCCAGATCCATATATATATATAATATATAGAATTCACCCGCCAAAAAACATATTGCGCAGATTTCTGCACCGACAGCATGGCTGCATATTCTTTTCATGCACACACCGAAGTTCTCAGACCAGAAATGAGAACCACTCTTTACATGTCTTTTTTAACAAAAGAACACACAATATACAAAACCCCAAAATCTTCCAACTTCCAAAACTGTCGCTTTCTTATTGAAACCCTTTACAAAAAGCTTGACTTCAACAGTCTTGCAATGGGTACCCCTTATAAGTGCCAGGGATCCACAATAGAGAGGTGATCCATAACTCTAGCACCTCTCTCTATCGATTTCTATTGACACCTTTTATGAAAAGCTTCACTTCAACAGTCTTGCAAAGGGTACCCCTTCTACTTCTACTACCACTACCACTGGACCACTACCACTACCACTACTACCACTACCACTACCACTACTACTACTACTACGACTACTACTACTACTACTCCTACTGCTACTCCTACTACTACTACTACTACAACTACTATCTACTATCTATATACTATCTACTATTTTCTCTTTTCTCTCTTCTATCTACTATCTACTACCTACTACCTACTACCTAGTACCTACTACTACTACTACTACTTCTACTACTATTACTACTACTACTACTACTTGAACTTCTACTTCTACTTCTACTTCTACTACTACGACGATCTACGATCTAGTATCTACCATCTACCACTACCACTACTACTACTACTACGATTACTACTACTACTACTACTACTACTACTACTACTATTTACACCCTGCGGGTTGTTCCGCCGGCCTTTTCAGCCAATGGTCCCAAGATGCGGATTACCTTTTGCGTCAAGAGGAAAGACTGCAACAGAGCAGAAAAAGTAACAGCATCATCCAGAACACAGCTGGGGCAACAGAGGAGCCTACATGAAATCATTATGATACAATAAAGAGAACAGGGAGATGAAATTGGGGGATGCAAAGTATAGCCTGCCAAGCAAGAAGACAAATTATATGACATGTGACACAATGAGCAAAGTAGACCGTGCGAAGCAGCAAACGTACATAGCATTCCGTCAGACATGATACAAGACATGTGTGGCATGGGGATTTCCAAGCAGTCTGAGTCTGCAAAAAACGATAGATACGTGAGTGCAGGTGCAAAACCTGAGAAAAACGCATGCAAAGCAGAAGCGCAATGCATGGACAACGACAAGAGAAGAACGACGATAAGAAGGAAGCGCACACAACCTTTCACTTTAGCTATGATATATGTGAGCTACATACATTCGGGATGTTCTTGGGGGGGAGGGGGGGGGTCAAGTTAGACGAGGCAAAAACTTGCTCCAGAGACACTTTTCTTATTACATATAGATTCAACATTCCTTAAGCTGCATACAAGCCACATTGATCAAACACGCCGGCGCCCGAGGGCCGGCGGATTACTACTACTACTACTACTACTATTCCTACTACTACTACTACTACTACTACTACCACTCCTACTCCAGAGGACCATAACCATAATTTTCTACCCCCCAAAATCCCTTAATAAAACACGAGCGGGGGCCGCCAACTAATACGGGTCAAACAAAATACATGTTAATTTCACCTTTTTAGGTATGGAAACACTTCTTTAATTCAATCATCCACTCCCTATCTTGAATATTCGTAACTCAACGCTATCCATGCAATGTTAGACCCCAGAGACTTCTGAACTATCGCTAAACTGGCACCCCGCAAAACTCAACTTTGCAAGTCCACAGGATTAGCTACTAGTAGTAAGGCCACGAGCCCCGAACGTAGCGTCCTTGCTCCTAATAGCGATGCCAGGAGCCCCGAGCAGCGTCCTTGCTCCTAGTAGGTCCCGCTTAAAGCTTTGCCCCAGCTCCAGGTGAAATCCTTGGACCGACGGCGCGTGCGGCGCAGCCCACGGAGGAGGAACGCCGCGCGGTGCGGGAGATGCTGAAGGACGCTCCGGTGGGGCAGAGACTTGGCGTGGTGAAGGATCAGGTGGGTGCAGATTGAACTTGAGTGTTTTCAGGTGTATTTGTATATAATTAGGTATAGTTTTTCGATCAAAATTGAGAGTAGGGGGAAGTGCAGATGGAAACAAACAATTTAGAGGATATTAAGGTAGTCCATGAGGGTCCAACCGCTTTGGCCTGAGGATGGTGCAGGACGGGGGTTCGGCGAAGTTGGTCCCTCCTGAGTTATTTTGTTGGCGTGTTTGTTTCGTAATCGTTTTCGTCCAACAATAACAAACAACAAATGACACAAAATCATATATATATATAATTTTGAAGAACAACATTTCTGTATACATAAATTCCCGCGTAAATTTACTTTATGTGTTCTTCAACAAACAATATGTGTGTTGCTTGCAGCGGGTGCACGGATCCCTTTTTCTCGTTTTGGTTGTTTCGCAGTTCCTGTTTGATTGAGTCAGATGGACGACGTGCCTTTAATCCAACACGAAAACACATTTTATGCAAAAAAACTATGGTTTGGCCACATGTTTCACTGAGGATGGCTGGCTCGGTGGGTGAGGATGGCGCGCAATCGCCACTTGAAACCCAAATTACAGGGATTTTTTTTGGATAGTGGATGGGGTCTCCATCCTGCATGGGGTCGCATCACATCAGGTGACTCACTTGAATCCCACCAAAAACATATTGGCATTAAACATGTTGTTGGGTCGTGTTCCTAATTTCTGTAAGTCCTCATCGATTCATCGTCCATTTGATTTGTGGGGCGGGCATTGAGACTAAAGCCTGTGTCTACCCGGCCAAGAACAATCATGTCACGAAGATGCAACCCTGGGTCGCAATGTGTTTCAGGGTCCGTGTTGGTTTGGAGATGGGCGACAAAAAAACACACTTGAAGATGGTAGATGAATCATCTTGGCCTGATGGTGTCCATGTTTGCACAACTGGCGGTCTCAGGAAACCTTTGATTAGTCTCAACGAAGTCCTGTTAGGGGTTGTCATTTCTGGCGGTCCTCCAAGCCACTAATGCTGGCGGTCGCGGGACTGTCAGAGCATGGCCACCCAGTTCTTCGACGCCAGCAGACCCCTGCGCCCGGGTTCGGGGGATTCCACATTGGTGATATAAGAGAATGTTCATGGACTTCATAGAAATGGCCATGGCCGAGGAGGAAGGTTTTGTTCCATGTGCGCAAATGTGTAGTTTTTGTTGTTGTTTTGCGGTTGACAATTCAAAAACATGTTTAGTTCTAATTAGTTCACTATGTTTGTTTGGTACTTGTTGATTTTTAAGGTAGTAGTTTTTCGTTACCCCAGTGCTTTGATGCGCGGTCTAGATCATCAACTGACCATCGGGTCCTGAGTCTCTACGGCTTCCTGGGCGTAGCCTTCGGAGTGCTGCTGCTGCTCACCGCTGTGGTGCTCTCCGGAGCCTTCGGCGACAGCGACAGCCCACAGCTGTGAGTGCTTATGGAGATCAATCAGAGGTAGAGCTCGCACGACTACTTTTGGGGTCAAAGAACTGCTACATACTGTCTCCTTTTGATTAGGAACTTGAAGGCATCACCAACGCACAAGATCTCGTTTGGTGGATTTGTGATTAGACAAGCTTGCAATGACGATCTGACTCTGCTGGGCCACAAAAGTTAGGCAAGACATACTTCATTGGTGGGCTCAAGTGATGGTACGGTACGGAACATGCTTACACTTACGGCCCTACTTGTCCATGGTTCCTCTTTGCGTGTGTGTCAGACCCTCCAGGTGTGCTTCGCATGCCCCGTTAGCGAGGGTTTATCACGGGGCTGTCATGTGGCACCGCGTGTGATCGCTATGGCGAGGTGACCCTTGAAGAAATAGCATGGACTCCGCTCACTGGATGGGTGAACAACGATCATCCAATTGAAAAACCTGGGAATTGGATATAGGGTGAAAAGTTGTAATTATGTCATATCGGGCCACTTTGGCCTAAGTCATCTGACCCCAGTATAAGTGGATCTAGATTTTGGCCAATCCTCGTGTTTGGCATGCTTGGTGTGTCTAGCTCGTGACCCTTCTTTCGACACGTCGTGATCCTTTTCCTGAAAGCAGCCGTCACTTGATTGGATGAGAGTTACCATAGTTGGAGCTTTCGTTCTCAGAATGACATCGAATCAAATCGAATCCAGATGAATCCAGTGTCCTCCTTTGGAAACGCAATCTAATTATGGACCCCATGGACCATGGTTGGTCCGAGCAGATGTCAGTTGGAGGGTCAACCAAGAAGGGACCGAACAGAGTTTCCTGGGGATTGGTATGAACATGCATGAACCAAAGCATCACCAGAGCTTCCTGCAAGGTCAGGAATGGCATTCTGCACACACACACACTGACTTAAGAAGACGATCATTTGTGAGCACGAGCTCTTCAGCGCTTAACCCCAACTCCACCTTTCAATCACTTCACCACCCTCCGCTCTCCGCCGCTCTCCGCCCCCCTGCGCCATGGGCAAACGGCGGCTTGAAGAGCCGGATGAGTCCGATCTGCCGCTGGAGGGGCAGCTGGCGCTCCTGCAGGCGCGGAACAGACGGACGAAGGCCCTTGGAACCGGTGGAACAGTCGAGAAGGGCTCCCCCCTGCGGTGGGTTTTGGGTTTGGTTCCTGGGCCAACAAGGACAGTCCCAGTGAACGTTGGGTATATGCTAGCCTTTCTGTGGTTTGGAATCGGAAGCCAGTGGTGGAGTCAATTGGCAAAGGCACCCTGAGAACAGCGGTGACAATATGGTGACGAACTATACTGTAGCATGCAGCATACTGTACATATTATGTTTACGTAGCTGTGCATCCAGATGAGCACCGGGTAGTCGCAAAGTGGAAGCACGCCCCTTCCTGCCATACTATAACTAGATGATTCGACCTAGTACCAACCCGTTGCCAAGTTGGGCCCATGCAAGAGGTAGCAAAAAAGGTAGCTTGAGGCAGCGCGGAACCACCAGGAAATCCTGCAACACACTCTAATTCCTAATGACTTGGCTAGATTTGGCAATTCACTATAGTGCTTTAAACTCATAAGCGGTACTGCACAGTGCACAGTTGCAAAATTCCTCTTTGCGGGATGGAACTAGATGTTATACAAGAAAAGATGTCTAGACATGTCTAGAACATGATTTTTGGATCACAGGGGCGGGTTCCCTAGCTTGGTATGGGCATGGCCATGGGCCCTAATTCCCCAATTACTGCAGAAGAAGAACTGACCAAAAGCGCTTCAAAATCGTGGGTGCTTACCCATTTAGCAATCATTTAGGTGGGCTTCAACAGGATGAACCGGGGCAGATGTCTTCGGATTTCGCTTGGCGCAGGTGGACTATGAAGTCATGAAAGTGGAGAATCGAGAGCTGCGGAAGCGCCCTTTGGCGATGCCATGAGTTGATCCAAAGAGTTGAGGTTCAACTTTCAACCTCTTCTTAGCCTACACCTACACCCATCCTACACCGATGGCCTGGTCGAAAGAGTCAAACAATTAACACTTTTGAGGCGTCTAGTCTCCGGTGGACTCCCGGCCCGAAAAAAAGAGTCAGCCTCCCGTGGTTAAAACCTGGAAGACGCCGGAAGACTCCCACGTGGCCACGTCGGTCAAATCCCACAATCCCCTTCAGAGTGCCAGAGCCGAGGCTTGATGAAGGCCTTGCGGGCGCCCAAACCGGCTCCATTGCGGCCGCCCGGACGAGAACACCGAGTCCTTTCGTTCCGGAGGACGACGCGAGGTTCGGGCGTCCGTGAATCGAAACACGATGTCAAGACCAAAGACTAAGACCTCCGTCCAGGGTCCCTGACCATGTTTGCTAGGGCCACCATTCTGTTCATGAGGGGGTCAGCCATTCTCGCAGATTGTGACCCCATGTGAGGCTCTGAGACAGCCATGTTCCACGGACTTCCACCTTTTTCAGAGGGCTTTGTGCTGTAGTGTGTCACGGAGTATGGGAATTAAGGCTTGAAGGTGGAAATGTCCAATGTCCTTTGTGCCCGAAAGCATCCGAAAGCGGTTCCTGGAATTTTCTTGGTATATAAATATGTTTGGCGGCCGTGGTTGGGTACAAGAGACGATCATTGACAGAACATGGTCGGGTAGGGTTTGAGCTGATATGACATCGATAAACTCTTTTTGAGGATTCCTCAGTGTGCAGTGGCTCATACATGAGGGATAGTAGCTCCTGTGACGCCTGATTCAGGATGGACATGGAATGAAGTCATGACATCGTGGTTTTGTAGGATGACGCGTGGATCCTCCTGCACATCCCAAACTTGCTCATCTACTGTGCCTCGACTCATTCCTACCAATTCAACAGCTGAGTTCGGAGGGTATTTCCACGCGGTTCTGGACATTCGGAGGGCACACCTTCAACAGCTGCGCTCGCAGCCTCGCAGCGGGGTTGCGATGCTTCACTCCCAGGGCGAAAGAAGCGCCGAAAGAGAAGGTGAGGCAAAAGGGGGTCAAAGAGAAGGAGAAGATGGAGAAGGAACCTGTTGCAGCCGTCCTTCCACATGTTCGCTCTTTGCTGGGCGACACGCCGATCCCGGAGAGAATAAACGCTACAGAATCAGGGGGTTATGCCCCCTTGGATTATCTTGGATTCTGTGGTGAAAAAGGTGTTTTTTTCACTACTGAATCTGGGATCTCTTTAGAGTTAAGATCGAGGCATAGAAGAATAGGTCTGGGGAAAGTCATGTTAGAGGTACCAGACTTATTTGTAGTGAAAAGAATCCTGGAAGATGGGTATGTATGTGCCCTAATTCTATAGCCAGTAGTCAGGGCCTATTCTATAGTGAAATCAGGTTTCGGTGTAAATCCTAATTCTATAGCATATTTACTTCTGTCAACCTTTGTGCAATGATGTTTTTTAGATTTTTGTAGTACGTTTTTCTGCTGTTGCTATCACTTGCTTTCTGTATTCGGGCGTGCCCCGTGTTTTCTCGTGCTCGAGACGGTGTATCGGGTCTCTTGTCTCACGGTAGAGCCATGGATTTGGACATGTTGGTTGTGCACGGCTGCCTCTATCGAATGAACCACCGCTGTCTGAAATCACCCCTGTCAGAAAAAGACCTACTTTGATTTCACAAAAAAAAAACTCTGAGGTTAGCAAACCTATTCTGTAGTGAAGTGAGTTCTCCCCGTTTCTTTTTTCAGACCTTGAGCTCTTAGTTCTATAGTGCAATGTGGTTCTGCCAGATGTCAAGTTCTAATTCTATAGCGTGACAATCTCCTTAACAGGTTCGTTTTCACTACAGAATCAGGGTCTATGACAATGATCCTCTCTGGAATTCCCACAGGGATCCACATGGTGTTTTAGACCATGGATTAGATCGACCCCTATCTAAGACCATGCTGCTGGACACATCAGTGGGGTATGTGTCAGTCTGTCCAGGACATGTCCATATTCACGACAGACGCACAGCGCCTCAACATGTTCAAAACACTTCGTGTTCAAAGATATTTAATTGACACATGGCAGAGAGAAATGACACCCACTGCAGGGGAGGGGACTGGATAGGTTTCAGAAAGAAGACTTTGGACCCCATGTATATTATATTATATAATATATATTAATATATATATATTATATATATATATCAAGTTGAAGAAGTATTAGTGATATTTAGGGATGATATGGGATGGTGTTTTGTTGGGAGTGCTCGAATTTGTGCTTGTGCTTAAAATGCTGGAAGTATTGGGGGCATCAAATTCAGTGGTCTTGGCACCTTGCTTGCTTTGAGGCCCATAGGCTCACCCCAACGCGACACTGTGTGGTGGTTTCAGTTTTATTTTCAACCTTTACTTGGGATGGTTGGACCCACTGACGACGTATTGCTTCCGTGGCCAGGAAAGGGTCAAGGAGAAGCCCAAGGAGAAGGCGAAGGCGGTTTTTTAGGGGACTGATGTCATAATTGTTTTACTGTTTGGGCCTCGGTCATAACCACAGTAAGAACATCGTTACTTCCTCAGTTCCCCCGACTGCAAAGCATGTTTGAAGGTATGAATGGATGGCGTGGATGGCCCTCATTGTCAGGAGAAGCCCAAAGAAAACGAACAAACACGACGTGGAGAGAGGCCAATAGAGAAGGAAGCACCAAAGGAAGATGAGGAAGAGGATGAAGCAGAAGAAGAGGTGACTGTGCAGTATGTCATTGTGTGTTATTTTTTGGTGTCCCTTGCTTTGTTGTGATCTGCTCAAGGGTTGTGACTGGTCACACTGGCTACTGAAACTCTGCGACCCAAGGGCATCTACACCTATCAGCTTGTTGTTTCCACACTATGTGCCAATGCAATTTGTTTAGTTTAAGGGCGCATATCATCAATCAATATCTACATGTCATGTCATTCTGTGCAGTCACAATGACGAAGGTGCATTTCTACCCTGAGTGCATCATATGAGTGTGTGGCCCTTTTGCAGCAAACATCCAACTCTTTCAGTCTTCTCATCTCCGGGGCAACTGAGCCGAGCTGGCACCTTCTCGCCGATGATCGAGCGAGGCACCTCCTGGGATGAATGCCGTGATGTTGGCCAATGCACAGATGGAGGCAGCGAGACTTTTGGGGGGTTGGTGTGAAGGCCTCCGAGGCGGGTTCCAGCTGGAGGGGTTTCTGGCGGTCGATCTTGGAGCAGAAAGGCCGGCAACATCGACACATGAATAGACTATAGTGATTAGACTGGATTGGGAGAATCTTCATGCCAGGCCAGCATAGTATCATGAAATTGGGCATACTTTGCAGACTCATGCAGCCCCATTCATGTAGTTTGCCACCACGTATCCATGTTGGATAAAGTCGAGTTCCGCAACTGCGCAGGATTCCGCAACTAGGATTCCGCAACTGTTTGGTCGGATTCCGCAACTGGGATTCCGCAACTAGGATTCCGAAACTAGGATTTCGCAACTAGGATTCCGCAACTAGGATTCCGAAACTAGGATTCTGCAACTGTCAAGATTCCGCAACTAGGATTCCGCAACTAGGATTCTGCAACTGGGATTTCGCAACTGGCGTTCCGCAACATTGTGGACTCCCTCACTAGGATTCCGCAACTTTGTCAATGATGAGGGGGTTGTCGTGATGTCGAGATCACACGATGGGGACAAGGGGGGGTTGGGGGTTGGGTGGGGGGCTAATGACGTTGGTTTGGTTGTGCTTCGAAGGTGATGTCACAGGCACACACGCTATCGCATGATGTGGAGATCACCAGTTGCAAGTTTCAGAAGGCAAGTTGCAGAATCTGACTTTCCGGTTTCAGAATACCAGTTGCAGAATCTGACTTTCCAGCTTCAGAATACAAGTTTCAGAATCCCAGTTTCAGAATCCAAGTTTCAGAATCCTAGTTGCAGAACCCCAGTTTCAGAATACCAGTTTCAGAATCCAAGTTTCAGAATCCAAGTTTCAGAACCCTAGTTTCAGAACCCCAGTTTCAGAACCCTAGTTTCAGAATCCGACCGACTAGTTTCCAAATCCGGCTCTAACCACTCCATGTTTGTTCGCAAGTGATAGTGATGTAGGATGTTTTTGCCAATTGCATTGGTCTCACATTTGGTTATAGAAGGCAGGTTGTGGTATCGGTGATGCACCGATCAGCCATGATCCCACCCTGACCGAAATATCCTGTGGCGTCTTCCATGGTGCTTCCCTGCCCCCAAACAGCTTCGAACAGCTTCTCGGGTACCAAGGCCATCGGTCAGCCGGGTCCGTTTGTCGCCATCGCCGACCAATGACATGAGCTGAGCACCTGCCGTCCGCAGCATCCTGCGGTCTGCAGTACCATGGTGGGAGCGCTTGTGGGAGTTTTTTGTCTTAGGGAACTCCATTGCCACTCTTCCAGACACAGGACCTTCTTAAGGACCTGATCTTGGATCATTTGCAATCCATAGATAGGACCACCAGGACCAGGGAGGACCTGATCCCTCAGGAGGGGATCCATAGGGAGTGATCGTACGACAGGAGGTAGGATCCAATCGGGGCGATCGTTTGTTTGATCTGGATCAATTTCTCGGCGGTGCAGGTCTACAACCAGCCAATCCCCGCAGACCTGCCGAAGGAGAAGCGTGCAGCCCTGGTGGAGGACCCCTCATGCGCGCAGCCCTGGGGGGGTGTTTTGTTTGGTTGTGTTTGTTTTGTTGGCAAAGGCAGAGCAAAGATGCTGTTTTTTTTGTGAACAATTTTTACTTTTGACCTGGACCTCCAAATAAGAAAAATTTGTCATGCCATGTCCCATGTTCTAGAATGTGTTGGACTATCCAGCTACTCAGAATACTCTACTGATATGGAGCATGGCAGCGGAGGCCAGTTTTCTCCGCACGGGAGGGTGATCAGGTGATCAAATGAAGGTTTACAGTGTGGATGTGCAGTGTGTGTGTGTGTGTGTCTCCACTAGGTACGATAGAGTGTCCAAGTATATGTTAATTTTCAGTGATGAAGGTTTTGAAGATGAACATATGGTTTGAATATAGGTTCACATATATGGTTTTATTAACATATGAGTAGAGTTTGAAGATGATCCAGTTGAACCAGTTCCAGGTTCCTTGGACTGTTTGGCTTGGCCCCCTTTGTTCGGATGACCGCGCAAACAGGTGCTGAAATCCATTTCCATGATAATTTCAGCGAGCGCGTCGGTCTATGTTGGTTCCCTCACAAGGTGAGATCATTTTGCAAGGATTGAGCGTTGAGAACGCGGTCTTGTTGAGTCTTCCTTCATGACAGGCGTAGAAGAGTAGAAGACTGGTGAAGCAGAACTCCAAAACCGAACTCGACCAATAGAAACAAAAGAACTCCAGATGGAGGCCCGTGTTTTGTTGTCCTCACTGAAAACGTTTCTGGTTCCATCTACTTCAGGTTGGATAACCAACACCTGGTTTTGTTGTGGCAGTAACACATCTCTTCCGAGATTCTGCACACACCAGAAAGCCTATACATAGAACATCATAGAATCACTGCTTGGGCGTAGATGGCCGGAACACTCTTGCCATCTTTGTTAAATATAAATTATGTACACTTCATAGGTCCTATGGATCGATCGGGGTGATCAGGGTGATCCGAAAGCAAGGTCCCCGATCTATGAGTCTTCGGCATGGAGTTGACCCACAACTCTTCATAGGAGAAGCTCAAGAGCTTCATGGACTTCTTCCATGACTCTGCTTCTGGGACTAGACTGGGAGTCCAGTCTAGGATGGGACGCGAGCCGCTTGGGTCAGGTCGGGTCGTGCTTCCAGACTGTCGGGTCCAAGGAGGTCATTGGTTGATATTGATCGATGGTAGGATGACTGTCGACTCAATCCAAATTTGATGTACTTAGTTCTGGGAGTACTCACTTAGTACTAGACTCACAAGAAGTTGCTGGGAGTACTTCATCGAAGTACTGGGAGTAGTGGGAGTACTGGGAGTGGCATCCAAAGTACTCTTTACTTAGACTTACTTAGTGTAAATGTGGGAGTACTGGGAGTCCAACATCCAACCATGCAAGAAGGCAGTGGGAGTGGCAGCGGAGAAAGGCTACGGCGAGAACCACTCCCAGGAACCTCCCGCAGAACCTCGGCCCGAGCCCTTCCTCCCACGAACGAAAACAACACGCCCGCTGGAGCGAATGGTTCAAACAAAGATTGCACTCAGAACGTAACAACACGCCCATGGGGTGCACATTGGTCGGTGTAGAGAGACTCCCCCCTATTGGATAACCCGAAGAGTGAGAAAACAGACTCAAATGCATTGGTCGGTGGATCTCATCACATCATCGAAATTCAAGCCCATTGTTTTGAGGTCTACCAGTTCTATGTTCTATTCATTGGATGGTACATGTTGAGATACCAACTTTTGGCCCATTGTGGGCTAGTCTTTGCCTTGAATTGTTGCCCCAAGGCCTCTAAGTCAGTGACCATATTGTTTGTTTGCACTGAATCTTTTGGGATTCGCAGTCTTGAAATCATAAATGTGCTCCATGTGTTGGTCAATCTGTTTGTTTATGTAAACCTGATGGAATTTTGCCATGGTTCACAGTCTGTTTTTGTCTCAACCGGCTTCAGTGTTTGCTTTGATTCATACCGACTTGATTCTAGATCAAGGGCCACTTGGGATGTTCTTCCTACGCAACTCACCCATGGCGTTGCCTCGGACCCACCAGGTGCAAGTCTTGGACCTGAAATCGGACAAAACGATTTTGAAGGGGAAGATCTTTGGAAAGCGCTATGGCCCCTTGGAAGTCTTTGGAATCCGGACAGGAAAAACAAGGGTGACAAGGAGACTGTCTCAGGGCTCAGGGCTGAACTTGTGGATGGAGGAAAGTCTATTTGTTCGTTTGGGACACTGCGGAAAGCTTGGAATAGAAGTCACCCTAAGGGATGAAAAGTGGATGAATCATTCCACCTAGCTCTTCAACTTATCTCAATGTCACATAGTTTTCTCATTGTTGTGGAGCAACACCTGCATCATCCAGTCAGACCCGTGGGTGACCCCGTGAGCCCCATCCTCAGAGCCTTCTGTCGGACATAGCGCACCAGTTGGCCAGCTGACCTTGGGTCGCCCCCGTTCCGCAGTCAAGTCAACTTCAAAGAACATCGCGTCAACGGTGCACCACAGCTTCACATATCTCATCCCTAAGTGAAGAGTGTTTCATATCGTTTCCATCTACCATGGCTCAGGGAAATTGCCGTTTTTGGAAGATTCCTGGACTCAGCCCCAACAGCCAGATGTCCCACGGAGAGACAAAGCAGCATTCTCTTCAGGTTGCGTCTTTCGGGAGTCAGGAGAGGACTTGCAAGGGTCACGTGGCTGGCAAGAAGGACTCTCACAGACTGCGGCTTAGCCTCCGAGGGTCCAAATGGTGTAAAGACTTTGATCTATATAGGTTCTCGTTGTTTGCGTCTTTGCTGAACCCATGGCTTTCTAGATTATTTTATCTAGTTCAATTCTATTTTACGTGTTATACAATTTTAGCTTATTGTTTAAAACCAAAATTGAATTGAATTGAATTCATAAGAATATACCTTCCAATTATCAGTTAATTCTATTGAACTCGAATTTGACTATCTTTTAAAGTCTAACTTAATTCTAAATGTTGTAATTTTACATTTTGAACCTGATTGAATTCAAAATTGAATCTAATTGTTTCCCCAATAGTTTGTGTTCAATCTCCAATTTGATTGTAATTCAATTCTAACTGAATTTGAATTCAATTCTATTTCTAATTTAGTTCTATTGTAATAACTTGTAATTCTCATTCAAGTCTAATTCTAATTCATTATTATAGCAATTGAATTCTAATCGAACTGCAGGTTAAGCAATTATGTTTCAATTCTATCTTAATTCTAATCCAATTATGAATTCTATCTAAATGATAATTCAATTTGCATTGAATCAGAACTAATTTTCATTGAACTAGAATCGATTTAAGATTAATTAGAATTAATCACGTTTATATTGCACATCAAAATAGAATTAAACTAGAATTGTAAACAACTGAAATTGAGTTGAATAAGATTTAAACTAGCTGAAACTAAAAAATACAAATAACTTGCAATATAAACAATTAACATAAAACTAAACTAAAACTAACTTCGAGATAATTACAAGCGCATTAGGCTTGAAATTTGATTTGAATAGGAATTCAATGCAAATGTAACTATTTTTATCTTTTACTTCTTTTCAATTTACTTCCTATGCAGCTAATGTGTCCAATTTAGTTAGAATTCAATGTGCATTTATGTCTATTTAACTTGAATTCAATGATAATTCAGTTTGCATTGAATTATAAGCAATTTTCATTGAACTAGAACCGAAATAAGATTACTGTAATTAGAATTAAGCAAATTTATATTGCACATCAAAATACAATTGAACTAGAATTGTAAACAACTGAAATTGAGTTGAATAAGGTTTTAACTAGCTGAAACTAAAAACATACAAATAACTTGAAATATAAACAAAACTAAATTTGAATTAACATACAACTCAAGTAGAACTAGCTTTGAGATAAATTAAAAGCATGTGTTTTTTTGGGGGGCTAGCATACACATATATATATAAAGCCTTTTGGTTACTAATGGTAAGGCCAGGAGCTACTAGCAGCATCCTTGCTACTAGTACCCTTTCCTACTAGTAGCTTTTTTACCGAGTCCATTGAGGCGAAGCATGTGATGTGGGAGTGACTCCCTGCGATGCCCCGGTGTGTCAACCGGGGAACCTTTCGTGTCAGCCCAGAAGAAGACGAAGAAGAAAACAACAGGGTCAATCTGTGTTTCACCCAGGAATGTTCAGGAATGATTCGTGCCAACGACATACAATCACCAATATTTTTGAAGCAGGTGTTTTCCACCTAGTTGTGATTCTCACCAAGCTTGGGAGGGAATAGAGGGAACATGTCAGAGTTCCAAGATCAGTCAAGGGCCAAATGTACACTGCACACCAAACAACAGACCAGCGGACATGCCGGACATGCCACATGCGCAATGCGCACCCGTCTTCGGGCACCATGTGTATAACAAGCTTGAATTGCAGATTTTGTTTGAGAGCTAGGACTAGCTCTTTCAATGGCCAATTGAGGCAGGGCTCTCCTTTTACTCGCAGGATCTCGCAGGTCTAAAACGTAGGATAATTGTTCCCTAAAGATAAGACGTGATAAAACGCAGTGAGGATCAATGTCAATTTGCATCGGTTCTGCACCGCAAGTGAAACGAAGGTCCGCGCCTTTCTCGGCAGCATGTATACCTGTCCATCACCAGACCCCGGCGGTCGGAACATCGGAGATTCCGGAACATGCTTGAGGTAGTGGAGGTCATTCATTCGTAACAAGAAGCTATTAGTAACAAGTGCATCGCTACTAGGAACAGGTGCCTTACTAGTAGTAACAAGAAGCTATTACAGTAGTTAATTTAGCACCATGTTCCGTCAAAGATCGCCTTGGGAGACAGACATGAGCACTGCATGTTCACCAGCCGCGAGACCGTCGGACTGGTCGACGGGGGACCGACGGACCGAGGCAAAGTACCAAGCGCTTCTACTTCGACTCCAAGAGCCCCACCTACTGTGCCCGGTCGAAGAGCGGAATGGAAGACACACGCTCCGGGGTGCCGACCCATCTGAGGGTGTCTATAGTGCTGTTGTTGCAAAGAACTATGTGAAGTTATGTGCCGGTGTTGGGAACTGTCACAGACCACATCACAACGAGAATAGATGAACATAGATAAAAACGCAGACATGACATGGGCGTTCAGTCGTTCTTTTGGATTGGATAGAAGAATCCTTCCTCAGATGTCCTGTTCTCAACCAACACATAATTATCAAGGAAGTGACGTTATGTTTTCTTGTGACCGACAGAGAAAATGCTTGTTGCCTACTGCAGTGACAGGAGATTTTACTGAGCATTGATCCTTGTTGGGGGACATCCCCACATTGGTCGTTTTGTTCATGGTTTTTGGTCTTGCGGTTTAGCACAGCCGCACCAAATCTGATGCGATAGAGAAGTTAATGTTCATGCTCAAGGTCCGGACGAGGCTAAAGTCTAACCAGCACATGTGCTGTCCGTGATCCCACCATGCACAAGCCACTTGGTTCCAATATTTATGGACTCATTGGGAGCGAGCTGGTAGTAGAAGATCTTGGGTAGAGGTATTGTCGTTGACTTCGACAACATGGGAGTTTAGGCTGTGCCGCAAGCAGCAGATCCTCGAAGTTCCAACCCACTTATGGTAACAACCATCGGTAACCATCACCATCCATCTCGGAAGTATCAAAGATAAACCACCAATAGTGGTTGAAGATCGGTCCCCCCTTGTCCTCATCACCCACCGGAGTACAGCTCAACGCCAAAGCGACACTGGTTCGCCGTCGAGCATGGCCTGAGGTCTGGACTTCGAAGCTCATGACAGCTTGGTCACGGCAATGGCTGGTACACCGCCCGATGGCCGGCTAGGCCATGGGGCATCGTGGGGGATCCGGTGAAGAGTGGTGAGAGGAAGGTGTTGCTTTGCATAGCTATGCCTGCAAGATGAGGGGCTTTACATAGTCACACAAATTCACTATACTAACAGACTTTAACTGAGAACCTATTTTGGAAAAGGTTTTTTCCTTTTCGACCCGATAGAATTTATACTTGCATCCGAAAGCAAGGATGGCTGATGATCCTTTTGTGTATATATGGCGATTCACATCAGAACTTCTGGAGTAAATAACTTGGACTTGTGCTAGTCTTCAGCTTTTGCATTACCCCTGCAACACCCGCGACAAAAGGCTTAAAGGCTCTAAGTAAGTATGCAGTTTTGGGTTCTAAGCCTGGGGTTTCCATCTAAAAGGTTCTAAGTCACACCTGGGTTCTATCTTTGCTGTTTTTCATTTTGGCAAAATGTTTGGGTTCTAAGCAAGTGTCCATCAGTATATAGGTCTTGAACATGGTGTAGAACTGACTGAGTCCATGTTACCTCGTCCGTGCAAAGCTGTTTGCAGCAAATTCTTTTCCAGGAAACTCTCCTATATACACATTAGATTAGTGAAGAGATGTTTGGCAAGTGCATGCTTGTACAGATTGTGTCCCCATTGTGTCATGCTTGTAAAGCGGTGGTATGTCAAAACCTTGATGCTGTAGCTGATTCTAGCTGCAGTTTAGAGACTACTTAAACCCTAGAAGTCATTGACATTTAACTTACTGTATCCGTTCTGAGGCTGATCATTTGACCCAGCTTTTACATCAGGTTTCTAGAAGATTTGCGGTACCCAAGTCTCTTGAATCTCTTGAATGGATTCTGTTGAGCGCAGCAGAGCGTCGTCGGGAAGCGCAGAGCTAACGAGTTAAATGCCAAATTAGGGAGTCAATACCTGTAATCAATCATGGAAGTGGAACACGGCTGTCCTCCACAAGCAGTGGTGTTCCACTTCCACGTCAGTGACTCGGAGTGTAGAGAAAAAACACCCAGAGTCCTCGCCTACACAGCACACCAAACGGCCGTTCTGGCACACAGAAAGACGCTGCACACTTCCCCCGGCCCGTCCGTCGACCCGTTGGCAGGGCTACGGGAGGCTCGCTCGGAGAGGCTGGTCGTCTTGTACGAAGAGAGTCTTGGACGAAAACAAAGGAGTCACATGGAAACCTGGAAATCTCGGGACCTATACTTCATAGATCTTCATTTCGGGTAATGGAGGGTCATGGAGAACTTCTTAGAGACCTGAAAAAGTCAAAGGATGATGTTATATATTACGTGAACCACTCACAGCCGTGGCATGCCGTGGCCGTGTTTCATCCAAGGAAGGGAGGCAAGATCAGCCGCATGTGGCTGAGACCCGACACTGAGAACCTGGGTGCTGATCCCAAAGCCGGCGAGGAGGAGCCGGTTGGGGGGGCAGTGGGGATGAGCTGCACCATGAGAATCATGGTTGAGTTGGGGTTCTTTTCAAGACACATCCTGGTTTTTTGATGAACACCATGAGATCAGGGATGGTTAGAATGTTTTGGGTGGATTCCTGTTTTGCTTCAATCATCATGTACTCGAAAGCCATTTGCAATAGGTCACTCCTCACTACCTGCAACATCGAAGTCTACACAGCTCGCCGCTGAAAAGAACTGGCCCATGTCTTAAGTTTGCTGGGCTGGTATAGGGAGTGAGGTCCAAACAGTTTTTGCATTTTGTTAAGAAGATTGGATTGTACTTGATACCCCAAAGAAATAAGAGCTCATACTTGGCCGTTGGCTATGTCACAAAAAGAGGATGAGATGGGCCGTCCAATGGGTGGGGTCACATGCTGGAATTTTGACTGGAATCTTTTTGGAGAGGGGGGCAAGATAGCAATGTAATGGGGCCACGTAGTACGGGTAGTATAATATGATACAGTAAACAAAGTTGATGTCAACCTCCCCGGGCCCCCCGAAGATACATTTTGCTACATTACATATGAACAGCTTGAACTCAGCATCATAATAAACTTGTTGATGTCAAACCTCCCTTGAGAATAACTTTGCTAGATCGAGTTTAAATATGAGAAGGTTGAACATTGCTGGAGAGTCCGTGAGGAGGAAACGACAAGATGTGCGGGCGGAACGTTTCCATGGGTATGTGAGCTGTCAACAACCCGTGAAATATGTTGAGGCCTTTGCCATGTCTTGCCTCAGAAATGCAGTACAGTACACCTGGGGTCTTCTGCAGGTCGAAGGTGGTGGGACTTTTTCCTGGGGTATTTGAGAGGTCGCCAGCCCTTGGAATACTTTTTGGCCTTGCGGCGCTGGCACTCGAAAGGCACAGCAAGCCTAAATTTCTCTATGAACTCTGGGGTGGTCATCGTTGTTTCATTCTTCAAATCTCTTGCTTTTTTGTGGCTTGCTTTTTCTCCCAGAGTGCCCGACAAACCAAACCAACGATGACGACGGAGCTCCCGGAAAAAGCAAATAGTGTCGTATTCTTTTGGTGCATCAAAAGAAACATGATTCCAATAACTGAGCTGCGTCAGGAGTATAGGCACGTGGTCCCCTAGCTCAGGCATAGGCAAAGGCACAGGCCATCTCGAAGCATGATGCCCACCAACATATGTGGAATATTGTTGTGGCTTAAATTATTCCGGTATGTCTAGACGTTTCTGAATAATTTTATGAAATGATGTCTAACCCACCCAGAATATGTAGATTAATCCACCGGGGGGCTACCTAAATAAATTAAGGCACGGCCCATAGGATGAGGGTCATCCACTCTGCTCGTCTGGCGAAAATCCTGGACCGGTGGACCTTTGCACCGCCAAGATTGGAGGATGAAACGAGTGAACCGCCCCCTTGGCCGAGGCGTTTTCACGCCCCAGATGTATACTTCCGAACCAAACGCATACATTCCTCACCGCAATTCAGACCTACCCTGAGGTCTTCTGGCCCTTTGTCTCCCAGCCGGGTCCTTTTCCAATCGCACTCCGGCCCCTGGCTGGGCACCCTCCCTGGAGTGCCCTGGAGTGGTCCAGCTCTTCTGGAGGAGCTCATGGCCAGTGAGGTCTATCAAAGCTTCGCTGCGAAGCTCAAGGAGCTCAAAGGATCCGACGACCTGGGCGAGCGCCGCTCGGAGCGGTTGTGGTGCTGTGGGTGCAAGGACTGGAAACATCACCTATCTGAACTCAGGAGGACTCGAGCAGTTTAAGCTTCGGTAAATCTGTGCAAAACTGCGAAACATTGCATTTTTGTTTTACACGACATCTTGTTAGTAATATTTAGTTGACGATATAGATAGTATTGTTTGTAGATGAAACAAAGATAGCGCTCAATCATGCGGGTCGTGCATCCATAAATGTTGACTGCCAACAGTGTGGAGGTGGGTGCCTTCACTTTGTCACTCTATAGTACTTTTGGTTGTGCGATAAACCAATGCGCTTGGTCAGGGGATGTCAGGAGTGTTCATAGCAAAGACATGATATATCACACATATATACATTCATTATCTCATGTTACAACATTAACGCTTGTGCGCAGTTCTTGATTCAATGACTTTTAGGTGTCATAGATTATGAGGCATGTCTGAAGGTTCCCCTATCCATGAACAAGTTGTGGCATTTTTCCACCACAAGGCATCTTCCACAACTACCACGACGTCCCCACTGTGGGCTGAGTCTTTGCAGAGTCCATGGAAGACTCAGCCGGGTCATGCGCCGAAGCTGTGAACAGTTTCGGCCTTTCCATGACCAGCTCTAGCTCTGAGTGCTCCATCCCAGGCGAGAAAAGATGGACAAAAAGTGCCCCAAGGATTTGAAAAAGGGGATCGGAGTTCAATCGTTAGAAAAGAATTTGAAAGGTTGGAGAAGCAGTGATTCTCCATGAAATCGTTGGGACCGGTTAAAGCCCAAACAAACCAATGCCTTCAAAAAGCCAGGTGAACCATGGCGAAACCGTTCACGTTCCACCCGGAGGGTTCGGGTCCCCCGGTCGGGTCGGGTCGACGTCCGTGGATCGACCGCTGCGTCGGGAGAAGCTGAAAAGGATCGACCGGTGGGGACACATGAGCTTCGATTTCGGAGGGAAACGGGTGGCCGGTAGTCGATGGATGTCTAATTAGAGTCATAGTTTTGACATAGGGTGACAAACATGTCTCCTTCAGTTCGCCATCCGGATGTGTTTTTGACCTGGAGCTGCAGAATTCTCAGCAAACACTGAGTCACATCCCATCAAGTGACTGTTGCAGATCTCGGTGTTTCCCCTGGCACGTCGGGACTTGCAGATCTGTTGGGAGTTCCAACCCGCCAGGCATCGCTTTTTGAGTGCTCGACCCAGCGGAGCGCTGCGAGAAAAGCCGAGAACAGCAGACTGAGTTCTACAAGCCATTCGGGCTATGACGAGTTCCCGGCGATTGAACAGTACTAGTGAGCTGAATACTTATTACAATACGTTGATATTAATAACATTACCCTGGGCTTCAACGTTGAAGTTTAACTTCGTAGTACATGACGAC